ATGAATAGCAAATGTAGTTTGATCAAGACACAGCTGGGTGACCCCAATCAACACATTAACAAAAAATGTTGATCGAATCACACCTCACAACACAAACATCAGAGGCTTTATAGACATTTAAATCTATAATCAGATAATACATCCCCTCATACAAGGGATTTTTGGGACGGTCTGAACAAGTGAAAGGTGGTTCTTAGGAAGGTAAACTTAAATGTAACTTTTTCTTCTGGTTACCAAGAGAATGGCATACAAGATTTTTCTTATCTTTTCTCTGGAATGCAGGGCCTCACAACTGTTGCGAAAAGCTTGATACAACATTGAACTTGTACTGGCTAATTGCTTATTCGAAGACAATCAGGCATTCAGCAAAGAGATAAGGGGGTGGGGGAAGAAACCAGTGCTCTTTACAAAGCAAAAGCAAGTTATAAAATTGTGTATATATAGAATATAAAATTGTGTATCAAAATAATGCCCTTCACTAGATTCCCATTTCAGACAGAGCTTCTGTTCTTTAAGTGCTGTGTTGACAGCCTTCTTAAGATTTTGGAAGAAAAAGTTAGGGCTCCTTCTTGAAACATGTTAGGCCCACGCCTCTTCAGTTTTTGCTAAATCATGTCCCTCACCTTTTCCCAAAAACAATCACCAAGCCAGGGGTAACCCTACACTCTTTTTTTCAGGCCCCCAAGTCCTTCTCTGATCAGGATAGTTGAAAATAGATGGTGCAGTGTTCTGCCACTTTGAGACAGAAAACACATAAAAACAATGCCGTAAGCCATAGAATACAATTGACATCACTTCAAGTAACAAAAATAGGCATCAAAACTCTCCCTAGTAAAGTGTGACCCTGCCCAACTCTTCCCACATACAGCAGATTGCAAGTACCTCTCAGATGTTAAATGCAGCCTTTGGTCCCCAGATAGTTGCTTGTCCCTAAGAGGACCATCATAGATGTTAAAGAGGCAGATCACCTAATGCAATTCAAGTTGCCTTAAAGGTAACTATCCAACAGATAGAAATTCATCAGATAGAAAAGGATCCATGTATTAAATTTCAGGTCCCTGACCATCTGCCTGGGCCAGCCACAGAGATCCCTATGGAGTGGCCGGTCAACAGTGAAGTATATGGCATTTAGGTTGCTGGAAATTCAGGCAAAGGGCCTGGGGGCCACATTCACTGGTGGTCCAGTGTTATAGGCTATGGTGGTTAGATGTAGTTTCCTGGGGATCTTCTTTGATGCCAATGCTTTGGATGAACCTGCTGGTGACATCCTGCTGTTGTGTGTGTGGTGTTCCCCTAAATCTGAAGTGGGGTGACCACCAAGGAGAGTGAGGGCGGTCTGATCCACTCTGACAGTGCAGGCCAGGGGGGTTGGAACTGGTCAGGAACAGTGGGATTGGTTCTGTGTTGTATACTCTGCCACATCATACAAGTGGATTAGAGTATGTTTAAGGTTGTTGACATGCAGAGCACAGTAATGGTAGGTTAGGGAGTTGGCTGAGTGATTTGCCAGATTGTTGACCCAATGTGCAAGTTGGAGGAGGGTGATTATGTTACACTGTTGGAATTGTGAAACCTGGCTTCAAGGTGTTGCTGGTAAATGCTAGATCTGTCTGTAAGAAAGCTGTGTCCATTCATAATCTGGTAAACAAATAAGCAGATCTTGCATGTATTATTGATACCTGGCTAAATGAGTGCAGGGATGTTGCCCTTTCAGAAATCTACCCAGGTGGCTTTTGGTCCCGCACCGCCTCAAAACCATGGTAGCGGAAGTGGGGTGGCATTGCTCTATTGTGAGACCATATCTGCAGCTAGGGTCACTGTTTCTAAAGTGGCAGTTTATGACCAACAGTGTTAGGTTGGGCTAAAGACACAAGCTAGGTGTCCTCTCAGTGTACTGGGCCCCTTGCTGCCCATCTAGATCCCTCCCACGGCTCCTAAACCTCACTGGTGGTTGAGTTCACCTGCCTGGTGACATTGGGAGGCTCCAACCTCCATGCAATGGGGGCTGGGAGAGCCCAGGAGTTCACAGCCTCCATGACTACCATGGGCTTGTCCCATGTAATCTCAAACCCAACAGACATAGGTGGCCATTTATTGCTGTAGTCTTGTTATATGCATATAAAGAGTATTGTCCCCACTCTTTGTCACCCTCAGATCATTTCCTGGTCAAGCTGTGACTGATAGTTGCCCATGACCTCTGGGATGTTCCACCCCAGAGACTTAAAAATAATCCCTGTTAGGGATTTTCCCTGACAACCTGATGGGCAAAATCTGTTAAGTGGCTAGTTCCTTGTCAAGTACTTTGGACCCTTGACAAGTTCGCTTCTGAGTGGACTGTCTCTGTGGCCAACCCTGGGTGGCCCCTGGGTTTTCAGAGGACCTCAGGGAGATAAAGCAACAGAAGCAACATGTAAAGCATAGGCGGAGTATGACAAAGAATAAAACTGACCAGGTTTAGGTACATGCTGGGGTTTAGGCCTACTCCATGGCAATAGGAGGGGCAAAGCATTCCTACTTCTCACTTGTCCTGGTTGGCTGTAATTCAGCAGCCTTTTCAGGGAAGGAGCCAATTGCTAGAGCTTACCCCGGCCACCGTGATCAATTAGCACAGCATTTAACTGATAAAGTAACTCAGATTCACATAACTGTGGACTCTACTTTGGCAGGATCTAGAGTGGTGATTGGGATATTTGGAATTGGCAAATTATCTGGTTTTTTTGTTTTTGTTTTTTGCCTATAACCTCTAAGAAAATAGATAGTATGTGCTTTAGGATGACCTCTGCCACCCATGGACCTGGTCCCTTGTCTTCCATGGCTTTTTCATGTAATCAGAGGGAAGTGTTATTCTCTGGATCCAGGAGTTTGTCAATGCCATCTTGTGGTGGGGGTGTTGCTGGCAGCCTTGAAGGAAGCTGTGGCGCCCCCCTCCCTAAGAGGCCCTCTCTGGATATATACAGTCACTACCATCTAATCTCCTGCCTTCCTTTGTTAGGGAAGTTTCTTGAGAAAGTAGTGAGGACCATATGCAGGCTGCCCTAGATGAAACATTATCTGGATCCTTGTCAGTCAGGATCCAGGCCTGACCATGGGATGGAGACACTTTGGTTACACTAATGGATGATCTCAGTCAAGATCTGGATGGAGATACTGTTCTTGTCCTGATCCTTTTAGATTTCTCAGCAGCTTTTAATACCATCAGCCATAACATTTTTGGACTGACTTTGCGACTGAGGGCTCTGTTTTACAGTGGTTATACTCCTTCCTCAGTGACTGGTTCCAACCAGTGATGGTAGAAAAAGAGAATTCCACTTGGTGGCTGCTCCCTTATGGGGTGCCAAAGAGTTTGGTCCCTCCCCATTTGTTTCATATCTAAATTGCTAGTGAGCTCATCCATCAGTTTGGGGTGGGGAATCATCAGTCTGCTGATAGCCCTCAGCTTTACATTGCTACCCTGGTTTATACTGGTGAGGTTGTTGAGACCAGTGCCTGTAGCAGTGGTGGCCATCTTGAATGGGTGCAGCTGGAAGTTAGGCTAGCCTCAGCTTTACCTGTCATCTAGAAGCAGATGAAGACAGAACTGTTCTGGAGGGTATTCAGGACATGATGCCTGTCTTTTCTGAATTGCTTTTCCTGCATTTAGGGAGGGGGGTGGATTTTTTGATTTGTGCATTGTATACCTTTGGATCTTACTGAATTGTGGCTGTTTTAATTTTTGAATTATTGTGAAACCACTGAGAGTCCTATGGGAGGGCAGTGGGTATAAATGTGATTAAATAAATAAATGCCAAGAACAAGTCGATTTTAAAAATCTCAGAAAGGGAACAGCTACAAACATGAAGCTTTTCAGGGCTCCAGTTAAAACCATGTAAAGGCCAACTAGAAAGTCCTTAACTTTTTGCATTACTAAGAGATCATTCTGCAAGCACCAGTGACCAGGGCTGAGCAATATTTCTATGATCTAAGAAAAAGGTGATCCTTGTCTTTTAGACACTTAATTGGCAATTGTAGCTACCACACCATACGCCTGACCTAGTTTTGTCCCATCCAACAGCACTTTGGGAAGGACAGGAAGAGTTAGCAAAGGAATCCATTTAAAACCCAAGATCTGTCATAAGAGGAGATTCTGTCATTGCAACATAGATGTAGTGACTAGGAAGGACTCATCCTTAACTCCAAGGTTCCTTACTTAGTCCACTTACCAACATATCCCCAAGTGAGAATTGTAGCCATCTTAAAAGCTCTTCAGATTCAAATGCATCCTTCCCTTAACAGTAGGAACTTGTTTGTCTGGTCCAAACAAGAGTGCACTTGATGACAATGTGGAGTTTTACCTGCTGATTAATGCCGACTATATACTTGCTTAGATCAGTGACACAGCTTTCCACAGGTACTTTGCAACAGCTTCTGGGGACAGATGAGGAGAGCAATCCAAATGTTGTGTTTAGCCAGTCTGTATAGTTCTCAGCACCACAGCATTGAAACTACAGTAGGGGGGAAAGCATTTGAGTTGGTAACAGAGAATAAAGTGCCCTATGAGACAGTAACTAGAGCTCCACTTCCTTAACTAAATGCAGAGATTTCCTGCTCACAGTCTAGCCATGCTCTTAAACTTTTCTTAAAGTTCTTCACAGTGGTAAGGTGAAGAAGACATGATGGAATCAGCACAGATCATAGAAGGTATTTCCTTTCTTTGTTTCCCTACTAACTCTAATCGAACAGATTTTGGAATTATAAATCATTCCAAGTTTTTCCTACAAGAGAAAGATATCATCCTTGCTAGTCATTTACAGTGTCTCCTAGAATCATCAAAATATTGGTTTGCATTGCCTCAATGAAATTTGGATGATGCTAGAAGAAGTTATACGTGTCATGGGAGGGAAGGGGGATGGAACGGCCCAAATCTGAACAATATCTTTCATACTATCTTGAGTTCTGACACATGCATTTCTGACTGGAAAATCTACTTGGCTTGAACCTGACAGTCTGTGGTGGTGTTCACACAATACATAACTCATAGTTAACTGAAACTGTTGTTTTCTGAATCAATTATTTCTGGTTCTCGCAAAATACGCTGAACCATAAACTAGATATGCAGGTTACATTTGCACAACGTAACTGGTCCAGTCTGGTCCAAACAACAGGTAAGTAACAATCTAGGCATCGATGGTAGATAAATGGGGAACAGACTTCTTGGACAGAACTCCAGAAAGCTTTGCAGTTCTGGCAAGTTGTTTTTTTAAAAAACAACAACAGGAAATGACATTTGGGGAAAATACATTTTCTTAGATGCCACAGAGGCCAATAAGGTTCAAAGCCCATATCATCCCCCCCACATATCCAGACATGAAAAAAATCCACAGAGGTGATTTACTTGGAGCAGTTCTACTTTATAGGATCACTCCAGTTTCTTATCTCTGTGTCTGGAAGCCAAAAAGGAGTAACCTAGAGTTAACATTCACTTCCAAGCTTGAACAAAACAAGGGATCCTGAGAAGGGTGAGTTTAAATTACCCTACAGAACTCTTTGAACATTACCCAGCAATCATCAGGCTGCAGAATAGACTGGATCTTTAATTGAGTTGGGAAGTGTACTTTGAGACCAAGGCCAGTGAGCCACACAGTAGTTAACCACAGTTTACCCTAGTGGGTTGTATAAACCCTGCCTCTGAATACACATCAGTAATCTAACAAAAGTCTGTAGTTCAAACTTTTAAAATGTAAAATAACAAAACTGAAGCAGCAGCAGCAGCAGCAGCAGCAGCCCAGATTCTAAACATTTGAGCCTATTTAACTAGATCCATTATGTTGCAATTCACTAATACATATTTTGTTTTAAATTAAAGTTCAATTGTTCCTAGAAAAAAAGGTTGCTTACCTCTGTCTGAAGCGTATCCACCCCCTTGGTGATCCGCAGTTCCCCACTATACTTGTTCAGAATCTTCACAAAGTCTTTTGATAAAGTCTGGTGTAACTGTGGTGGTAGAGGACAAAGCAGGTAGAACAGGAAGTTTTCCTCTGCATTGCCTTACTTGGAGAGAAGGCCAGTAGACTTTCATGGGGGAAGCAAAGAAAAAGGCAGCAAAGGAATCATTTCCCAATATATGGGAAGCTCCATTATTAAAGTGGATTCTATATCTTTATTATTACTCCACAGGTAGTATTGGAAGTTTAAGCTGAGGCAAGTTGATTTAGTAGGTAATAGAGAATCAATTCGGCCTCCCCAAACATCTGGGAGCTGTAATATTCTAGTATTAAGGAAGTCTGAACTAAATATATTCTTAAAATTGAGATTAAATATTACCCCCTCCCCCCCTTTTCTCAGCAGCTGGGTAGGAAAGGAAAGGGGGATTCTGGGATATTCCAAATATAAACTTTTCAAAATCTTTTTGATGCTTACAAAATGGGGGGAGGGACAACCCTAAGTTGCATAGACCCTTTTTGCTCTGAACCCAATTGACATATTGATTATCCTAACATTTCACTGTAAAACTTACTCACTGAACTGCTAACAGCAATGGATACAGTTATTCTTACTAATTATTTTGGAGAGAAGGTAATTATTTCCTCTGAAATCAATAGTGTTAAAGATGTCTGTCTTTCATCTGCTGCTTCTCTTTGGCTGTGAACACCATCCTGACATGATTGGCGGTGGTGTTCCTTGTACGGTTTCTAGATCTACTCAATTGTTTTTCAACATTAGGCTACTTAACTGTTTAGGAAAAAGCAGCCAACTTATATTTTCACACTGCCCCCCTCCCAGATTCTATTTTGTATTTTTTAGCATAGGACTATTATTATCAGTTAAATACCAAACAACACATCAGGTCAAGCCCTGCTCCATTACAGTTGCCTCCTCTGGCAGAGTGACTTGGTGGGTAGCTGGGTCATACAGCTATAGGATACAAAACTGTATCTATGATGGTGTTGGACTCAAGGTCACAACATTGGGCCACTGGAAGAGGAGCAATAAATGGCACCTCTCTCTCAGAATCAAGGTACATGACATCTACCAACCAAGTGATTTAGGCATCAGGCAGAAAATTCTACAAAGCCATTTACCTGGCTGTAAAAAGATATTTGTCACTGATAGGTAACCATTTACTGCATTTTCATGGTGTCAAAGATTATCAAGGGTGGCTGTCTGATCCTGTCAGTGAAAGCTAATGAAGTTTAATCATGGCTTGTCCTTTCAATGTACAAGTCCTTATGCAATATCAAGCTACCAAATAATCACTGTTTCTGTAAAGCTTGTTACCCATTTCCTTTCTTTCAAGTCTTTTATTTTAGTGTAACAGAGAAGACAAAAAAGTACCTCCTTATTAGGGAAATGGCAAAGTCCTGATTGCTGTACATAAGCTAGCAGAAATCAAGAATTTGTTCCCATTATGGCAATTCTCCATCCCTCTTGAGAATGCATGCCTTAAGAAGTGAAAGTTTTTCTCTCCCCTCCAATTTCAAGGTAAGACTTGTTTTGAACAAGAAACCTTCTCTCTCAAACCTCACCTTTTCTCTGTACACATAGGCAGTGGCACCAACTATGATTTCAGTGATCAAGAGCACCAATAATAAACCTGTGAACTAATCAGAGAGAGTCCCGCTTAGTTTAAAAGCTAGTGATTTACAAAGAGGAGTATCAGAACTGCTTTTGAGAACATAGCATTATGTTTTTACCCTTGTGTATCTATCTCTGGCTCTCTTATTCAGAGGTCCAATTCTTATACGCCAAGCTGACTCCGAGACACGCCAAACTCAACATTCATCCATTATTGCTGTCATTAATCTTCTCAAATAGGTCAGAGGTGATGAAGTCACCATTAGAAATGGTTGAAACTGAGTGGCTGATTGCGTCCAAGTAGAGCCACCAGCACCATACATGGTAAAATCTTTGCCCTGATTATATAGTAACTGCTCTATATGCATACATTTCCAAGCCAACCTATTTTGGGGCATATTAGCATTAAAACCAACAAGCGCCATAATCAGACACATTAACAGAACTGGAATTTAATATGGCATACAGCCATCTGACAAAATTGTAGCTTCTTACAAAGTAGAACTATTTTACACTAATTTAATTCAAATGAAAACATTTTAACATTGGTTTAGTGTAGTTACTCAGTGATGGGCAAATGACATATACAAGATTGCTAGCTTAATTTTTGCCAATAGGATACTTTTTTTTCATGTATATGATCTCATGATTGCAATAGGTTTAGCCTAGTCCCAAGACATGAATGGAGTCTGAATTGTCAGACTATGTAACCCACATTAACAGCTCATCTGTGGAAGCATCACAATTGTAAACAGATATTGCTATGGCATCTAGCAACTCAAAAGACTGAGGTTTAACTCAGTCTTAACAACCACATTTGGATGCATTAAACAAACCACGCTTAACTCAAAGCATGTTCCGTATTCCGTTTAACACCTGAATAGCACTTACCAATTTGATCATCTTTGTGTTTGATCTGAGTAAAGCAATTGCGCCAAAGCCAGATAAAAGGATGATAAGCACACCAATTACTGTTACGATCACAGGTATTCCTGAAGCAGCTTCAGTTAATACCACAAAAGTATCACGGAGTCTCACTTGAACAGACACGCCTGTGATTATTAACACAACTCCAGAAACCTAGAGTTTTGAATGTTCAAACATCATTAAGAAAAATAGTTTATTCTTCATGAAGGCAAATTTATTTTAGTCAAATTAAATTAAAACTATTCATAACATGGATGTTCAAAGTGATAGAAGTGACAGACATGCAGATAAAAACCCTCACTATTACTTGCACAGACATTGCTCCAGGATCATAGCAGAGTTAAGTCTTTCTGACCAAGGCTGGGTTTAAAACATCGCACTAAGCCATTACGTGGCTTGTTTGGTCTCTAAGCCGTTATGTGGTTCATGGCTTATTCAGTAAACCTTTAGTAAACAATGCATGGTATAGCAAATGTCAGCCCCTTTACTTTTTTAAAGTTTCAGTAGGGATATTTAGAATTTCACACATAAATCATTAGTAGTGTAGAAGAATAGCAGGCTACTATATTCTTAAAAGAAAAAAACTGCTTGCTTTTTTAATTCTGAAAAATAGCAGTAAAGTAATAAAGCAAATATTTCTGGAAGTTTCTAGGAAAATATTCTATGAGAATCATAGCAAAGCAATCCATTGTTTGTAAAATGCTCAAGACTGATCTTGAGCATTATACTACACTAATTTAAGCATGGTTTATTAAAAAAACACACATGGCTGTATATACACAACACACAAATTCAGAAACAAGAAACAAGCCCCGTGTTTAGTACAAAGTAAACTCAGCCATTATATATTGCTTAGTCTATGTCTAAAACAAACTATGGTTAAAACAGTGTATGATTTACAGGATAAGGAAGCAAACATTTAAATCAATGCATTTAAAATTAAAAGTTTTTAGTGAAAAAATGTAATTTGCTTAAAAAGAATTAATTTATGTTGTAGAAGACTTATGGCCTCATAAAAAGTTCTAATTGCTAAATTATGCAAGTTGAAAAAACTCAAATAATTACATTTCACACATGCTTTTTTTACACAACATACCATACCATAAACCACAGTTAACAAACCACAATCACTTATTTAAGCAAAGCCAGAATGATCAAATTACATTGTAACTTAATATGATAAACTTGTTCATGTAACTTGCAAAAATATAATGCAGTTTTGGGGGCTTTGTTTTGCCACTGTGATTTAGAAATACTGCTTTATGATTTAGCATGTTGTGCAAACACAACCACACTCTTGTTAAAATAAGTTCACTTTCTAAACTAATATAATTCCAGTTATCCTATTATAAGCACAAAATGTTGTACTATTACAACAGCATAACAGAATTGAGAAGTTGGTCCAAGAGGGGGGAAAAAACATGAAAAAAAAGTTAAATAGTTTGTGACTGCACAGGTTTTATACTCTGGATACAAAGTGAGATCTAAATATACTTATACAGATTTTTTTAAAAACACAAACCAATACTTTACCCAATAAAGTAAAACAGTCAGCCATAACGAAATTTTAATACATCTCTCCCACTTAATAGTTCCTTTTGCTTCCATTTTGCTTGCTACCCTACAATGCTTGAAGACCACTTGTGAAGATCAATAGCCCAATTCCAATAAATATTTGCAGTTGTTACAGCTGTCACCAGTTTCAACCAAAAACTCTATTTATGGCTTGTGACATTGCCTTATAAAGGAATAGATTTCTTAACATTCCCAAACCACTTTTCTTTCAGCAGTCTCACTAAATCACAATCAGGCTGCTAGGGTATTGTAGCCAACTGCTCCTGAAATAACTTGCTTCACATAAAGCAAGTTATTTGAGGGGCAGTGTACTATATTACCATAGCAGCCTATATGTGTGTGTGTGTTTATACAATATATATACATATATACACACACACATAGTGTGTATATATACACACAGAGAGAGAAAGAATTATATACAGTACACATACAGAGAGAGAGAATGAATCAGTTTTCTTCCTATCTAGTGTTCCTATTCTTATGCAAAGTGAAGTATATGCATTCCAGGCAGTAGATGCTGAGTAGTAAGAAGAAGCAGATCTATATATGCACTATGAGCTCTTGCCTGGAATCAGTGGGTGGGTTTGCAGGACATTCTAGGTTAAAATGTAGCTGACTAATTTGCAGTTCAGTGTGTTCTGCAGAAGAGGCTGGCTCTGAGCCTTTAGTGGAAGAAAAAGAGATGATATAGGACAGAAGACAAGATGGTTGACTCCTACAGAAAGAACGGAGGGGAAACAGCTGTGCCCTGCAAGAGGACAACAAAAGGAGCAGTGACAGCCAGTGACTCAGTACTATATGTGAGTCCTCTATTTGAACTGATATAGTGAGTGCTGACCAGGCTGGGCCATCTGCCTATGAAGTGTGCTATCTGCCAGGAGCATGGATCAGGGATTTGACAGGCAAGGCTGATCAAGTCCCTAGATATTTATTCCTTTCTGCTGATCCACAGGGGACCAACAATATTGCAAACAACAACCACAACTGTATCACCATAGATTTTGTAGACCAGGAAGGAAAACCCAAGAAACTTGAACCTCGGATGATCTTCATTTATAAGGACAGAAAAGGGAAAGAATAGTGAATGATTGGTTATGTAAATCATGTTGACAGGTGGGATTCTATTTCTGGATCCATTGCCTGAATTACCTGGATCATGGACCGCTGGCTCAGAATAAACACCTTGTGAAGATTGGTTAAAAACGGCTCAGCTGAAATACAGACAGCTTTATCAGGAGGCCTTTCAAATGAATCTTTAACTAATATGAAAATCTTGGGTATTGTAGTAGATAGTGGGAAAGTTGCAGTAATGGGGACAATTAATCCACTCAGTAAAAATTAAAAAGTATTTATATTCATCAAGTTCATGGTCTTTGTTGTCTACACACTAATGTTTAGAATTTCAGAAATTAAACAAGATGACCTGGAACTCTTAGTACCGGAAGGCAAATATAAAGTAATGATATAATGGAGACCTAGTGGAAGACCCCTATGTTTGGGATATAAAGTCAAAGAATAGAATTTGTTTAAAAGGAACAGAAGCAGTAGAAAGAAAAGAGTTACACTGTATATTAAATCCACAGCTGCCAAAACTCCAGGTGAATAAACTTGAAGATATTGTAGGAAGCATCTGGGCTAAGTGGATGAATTAATGAAAGGAATATTGTTGGTGGTGTTTCCAGTTGCTGGCCAATCAGAGAAAAGATGCAGAAGGTGCTTTCCAAAAACAAATTGCAAATCTTTCATAGAGTTTATAGTACTAATGATGGAGGACTCAAATTACTGTTGGGAGATAAACAAACATGGTTTTTACAGGAAATTCTAGACTTGTCTTGCAGACAGCTTCCTCCATCAGAGAATGAAGGCCTAAAAGGATCAGCTATTTTTCGTTATACCAGTCTTTTTCAATTTTTTTTTTACCCTGGAGGAGCCCTTGAAATAGTTTTTGCATAAAAATTATTATATCTACAGAACACAGCAATGAGCTGTTTATAAACTATGGTTTTTATTTTCTTCAATTGCCACCATGGAATCCCAACTGAGAAAGGCTGTTTTGTAACAATCAACAGGGAAGATTTAGTTAAAAATGTAGAATAGCAGCAACATTAAGAGGAGGTGATCATGTGTTGTTGGAGTACTTGATTTTCAGAGAATGCATTATCTTGGACTTCAAAAAGTAGCTTTTAATGAACTCAGAGCAATTATAAGTAGATTCCATGGCAGAAAACCTAATGGGAAAGTGTTAAAGATGAGTGGGGGGTCCTAAAAAAAAACCCCAAACAAACTCTAAAGGCACTATGACAAACAATTCCAGTTAAGAAAAGTAACATAAGACAAGCAGAAGAAGTCATATGCATGAATGAAGTGGAAAGAAAGAGGGACAGTCACTAAGGAAGAATATGGATAAGTTATTTGGAACTGTAGAGGAAGTACTGAAAACCAAAGCTCAGAATGAGCTGAGGTTGGTGAAGAATACCAAGAACAAAAGAACCAGAACGGGAGTGGGGGTGGGGTGGGTGATGAAATGTGTGCAAGCACAGACCTTTTGCGTGCTCCACAGTTGCACACAAACACATAAGGGTTATTGCTTGTGGTGTGATGTCACAACACAAGTTTTATCATTCTACAAAAGCTCCGGATTCAATGGATGGCTCTGATAAAATGAGCTTCTTCAAATATGCTCAAAATAAAAGGAAGAGACAATAATCAGTACACCAGCTACTCAGTGAAGATGGCAAAATCCAAATCAGTAACAAAGAAAAGGCAGAGCTATACTACTACTTTGTTGTAGTCTTCTCCAACAACGGTATGTGTTTCACCAAGGAATTGTGAAGAGCAGGATGAAAGGATAGAATTGAAACTTGAAACTGACAGAAACATGATAATGGGGTGTTTGTTTATTCTGAATGAGTTTCAAATCTGTAAAGCCACATGAACTGTAGCTTTAAAACTAATTGAAAAAAGTCTGATTATTCAATTGAACCTTTCTGAACCTTTGAGAAATCCTGGAGAATGGCTGAACTACCAAACAAATTATGGTGAGTAAATGTTGTCCATATTTCAAAAACGGAAAAAAGAGGATCTAGTGATGCACAGACCAGATTCCTGCACTGAACAGGCAGCTGGACTCAATGGCATTCAAATTCCAACTCTGTGATCTAACTTAGCCTGTGTTTATGGTTCAGTGTGTCATACAGACATAGGAAATTGGGTTATTTTACTAACCTTGATTCAGTTAACCATATATAAATAAGTTGTGCAAACACAACTGTTAAGTGAACTTTTTGCCTAGAAGTGCTAATGTCAAAATCAAAACTTGCACAAAGACATTAGCCAAGTAAAAGCTAAAAAGCAAAACCTGCAACCTGAATGATACCTGTAGAGGAAGAGTTTTTTTCTCCATCGTACCTATGTACTTAAGCACTTTAATGTGAGCTGGTGGTGTTGAAATAAGTAAGGTGGGGATTACAGCCAAGAGGAGACCAAGTTAAATTCTCTGTTAAGCTTGAATACATAGCAACAGGTTGCTCAGGCTGCAGAATTAATTAAGAGTTCATTTTTTTATATTGTCTAGCATTAGACAGAGCATAGAACAGGTTTAGCATATTGTATTGATACAGTATAGCAGTGTTTCTCAACCTTGGCAACTAAGTAAGAACTGTGGACTTCAACTCCCAGAATTCAACCCCCCATAGCTGGCTGGGGAATTCTGGGAGTTGAAGTCCACATATCTTAAAGTTGTTAAAGTTGAGAAACACCGTAGTATAGTATTCAGCTTCTGTGCGTCCTGAGGACTCTGCTGTTAGCTTTGTTTCAGATCTATGGAGACTGTTTCACTTCTATCAAATAAACTCTTCCAAGTTCTGAATTCACTGTTCTGAAGCTTTTTTATTTTGATCAGGAGGAGGGAAACTTTTTGCTCCTAGAGGCTGCGCTTCCCTTTTCATTCCCCACCCCCCCATCTCGGAAAGCCAGAAAGGGAGTGGGTTTTCCGAGTGGGGTGAGATGGACTAGGGTGGGGTTTGTTTGGACAAATTCAGTATGTGAAGCCTCCCAAAGGCTTACCTCTGGTGCCGATTGCCTTACTGCCCTATCACCTCCCCGATTTAACATTCCCGAAAAGAAACAAAACTGTGCCACCCAAAAATTAAATGTTGCTGGTTAATTTTGTCCCTTGGTTCTGAGGACTGTAAAAATGGGTTTGGGAGCAGAGGCTTTAGACCAGTGTTTTTCAAAGTTGGCAACTTTAAGATGTGTGGACTTCAACTCCCAGAATTACCTGGCCAGCAGGAAGTCCACACATCTTAAAGTTGCAAAGTTTGTAAAAAAACCTGCTTGAGACAGACTGGTCACGGTAAGTTCTGCTGAACTCGGTGATGCTTGTGTGTAGCTCTAAAAATGACTGAAGCACCAGCCTCATCTGATATTTCATGGACCAAGTCTGAATTATATTGCAAGAAAACATTCCCCCAAGTATCTAAAACCTACACACATCTCAGCTCATTTGGCTTCCTGACGGCAGGGGATGCAACTAAGACTATTAAAGCCACAGAGCCCCGTGTTTTCTTTTGATTTGTCTTAAATGTAAACTGAGTAGTTCTGGCTGATGAAAGATAATGGCTTAGTGACTACTATATGAAATGGTGGAATCCTGAGAATAATAATCCTGGCCAAATTTAAATATTTTTTTAAAGATTAAATTCCAGTTGAACTCAAACCATAGAGATTATTGGTATTTTGTTTTTGTTTAAACAAAAAACAGATTCCAAAGTTCTCCATTTAGCAGTTCTCCCTCCTCAGTAAACAACAGGTCATCCTGGAATAACTTCAAACCTGATTGCTTAAAAAGCAGCATAAGCACCTGCATGGAAAAATTACTGGCTCTCCCTTGCCAGCCTCAGCAATCCGTTTTCCTCTGCTTCTAAGTATGGACTAGCTCCCAGCGTTTTATCACTGTGTCCCAGCCCGTGGCTCTAACTTCTTAGGTGTGTGAACCAAAGCAGTAATAGTTATATTCAAAACCTGGCAGT